AAAGACAACGTCTAAAGCTCGTTTACACTCTTGCAACCGAGTAAGACCGAGAGAGACAGAACCCGTTTTTAAGCCTCTTGCGACGTCTTAGGACCGGGTGTGCTGCTGCGGAGCTGGTCCTAAGGAGTCGTAAGAGGCTTGAATATCGGCCTTGTCTCTCTCGGTCTTACTGCAAGAGTGTGAACGAGCCTTAAGGCGCCATCGAGGACGGCGTCCTAGAGGACGACATCAAAGACGTCTAGGACGACCTCTAGGACGACCTCTAGGACGACCTCACAGACGACGTCTAGGACGATCTCTAGGGCGATCCCGCTGGCGACTTTTAGGTCGATGTCTAGAACGACGTCGAAGACAACTTCTAGAATAACCTCTAGGATGATCTTAAGGACGACCTCTAGGACAAACTCAAGGACGAGTTCGAGGCAGACGTCCTAAAGGACGACGTCAAAGGCAACGTCTAGGGCGACGTGACGATGACAAGGACGACCTCTAAGACGACGTTGAGAACGACGTAAAGGCCGCCAGGTTTTTCAAAGAGGGTGCGAATGTGGAGGAGTGTGAAAATGTGAGCTGAAACGGTCTACTGCGCATTAGGAGGCCAGCAAGTCCAAGAAATCCGGGGAGGAGGGGGGGGGGGGGGGTTGCTTTCGCATTAAGAGGACAGGCGTGCGTACTGCACGGTTCTCGGCGCGCCTTCAGGGAGCGCGGCGATGCAAGTCGGTTGCCGCTTCGGTGTGATAGGTGTGACGTCACTTTCGTGACCAAGTTTTCGTGGAATCGATCTCCCAATTGCGTACTCCTTTTCAAGCGCAGTTTTACATCAAAAGTGATAAACGATTGGATGGTAAAGACGGATGATGTGTCTTGTTATCGCTGTACGTATGTCTTTTCCGAAATTAAACCTGTTGAAAATAGAATTCCGCGGTGTTCCCAATGGAAAACGGCGCAAAACATTGACGAACGACCGGCAGAAGGAGTAGACACATTCTACCTGCCCCTCGTCAATTATTTGCGCCGTTTTTTTATCAGTAATGCACCATGCACCAACTCGCCCAAGTTACCACTCTGATACCGATTCTGTGGTGTTTGTCTGTGGAGTAAAAACCCGAAGGTACTATAGTACCTTCGGGTTTTTAGCGTTTTTAATTCTCTACATTGTACCACCATCTCGACCAAGTACACACTCTACCACGGCCGCGTTGTCTGGAAGGGGGGGGGGGGGGGGGGGGGGGGGTTGAAGGCGCGTGTCGAGAGGTCAAGTATTTCGAATGATGTTGATGTCCTGGTCAATTTTTTTTACAGACTGATGATAAGAGGTTGCGAATATTCGTCTGCGATCTCTTCGACTTCGAAAAGTAAGTGTTGCACATTCCCCTTGTACCAAGTAAAGTATACCAAGCTTATGATTGGTTTATGAGCATGCTTTTTATTAAGATTGCTCAATCTACGCGCTCTAGACATTGAAAAATCGTACGATCACGCGCGCTTTATTTCTCTACTAACAAAACCGCTCAAAAGCTCGACCTCTGACCAGGCTTTTAAGAGTGAAAAATGCACCGCATTGTCATAATTGTTTTTATATAGGATGCTTAGAGCACGCATATTTAGTTATCGGTTTAAAAATACAACTTCAGACATCTTTCAACTCTCCCTTAAGGAAAAATTACCCTTTTGTAAAGGAAAAGCCCATTCACATTCAGACCAAGGTCAGGCTCAATTATATTCAATGCGAAGTGTAGTATCTAGAAGCATAAATGTGCACCTCATAAAAATTGTAACAAAATAAGTGGGCGGAGTAGTTGGTTGAACGCTATAAAAAATATTAGCGCGAAAGACACTGTGCACAACTTGATACTCTTAGGAACGCTGCAGAGATGCTGTAATCTGGAAAGGGGGGCAGACTGTTTACTGAGGTGAAGTTAATTTTGGGGATGAACCATATGAGCACCAATGAGTACCAAGAACACCAACGTGCTCATTGCTCATTGGTATTCTTTTAAATATTGCAGAGAAGCTCAAATCTCGGGAAAAGGGTAGTCTAACTGCAAGTGAAGCCAACTTTAGGAAGATCTCGGGTAATCTCGGACTTGAAAATTATGGCATTTTGTACCAAAAATGTGCAGATTGGGTGGTCCACCCAAGATGGTTTAATGTAGGAGATTAGTCTAATCCGAAACTAAATAACCGGGGAATTCGGTTTAAAGTGTTAAAGAAAAACACAGGTTTACAAACCTTAGTAACAGCCTGGATGCTAACGGTGTATGTTGAGGGGCAGTTTCAGATGTGGTGGAACAAATTTGGCTGGCACTTGAAAAATAATCTTCCGGCTGAGCAGGTACTGGCTACTTCCTGAGCTATGTAAGGATGTGCATATGTTTGTAGTAGGCTGAGTGGAGAACAATTTAGAATAGTAAATGAAATTGTCCCCTAAAGTGTGCATGTCTCCAGATTCCCTTCAAATAACAAGCAAAAAATGTCTAACAGGTTTTCACCTCAAAAACCGTAGTAAAAAAAAAAAAAAGATCCGGCTTATTGCGGAGCCTTAGGGATTTTCACCCTTTATGTAGAGAATGAAGATATATGTAGGTACATATTCGATTAGATATGTTATCCTCTCAAGACGTGCACGCTTCAAACGCCAAAAGCGTGTCTTCTTCTTTGGGCAACCAAACATTGTAAGACCGACTTCACGCGGCATGTGAACTATGCGCAAAAATTTATCTTTTCTTCTGGTGAAAATCAGCATAGAAAAGTTGTTTTGTGCTCAATGGGCTACTGTTTCTATTTTTTTTTTCTCTGACCAACTGTTGCTCGAAATAAGCACAGCTGCTCATTCGTGCGGTCTTTAATTCACGCACATTCAAATTGGCATCAGAATCCACCTGAAATTTGTCTCAATTTCTACATTCAGATTGTGGACTTCTATTGAAATTTCACAATAAAGATTGATTCTATTACCAGCATATGCACATTAGTTTATGTATCAAAAATAAAATAAAAATTCAACTCTATTTTTTGAGCAGAATGCCGACATTAATAATAAAAAAGAACGTCTTTAATTGGAATAAAATAATTAACGACGTTTCCAATTCCCCTTAATACTGAATTAGAGTGGTTAGATCAGGTCAGTGCAGAACACAGTCGTCTATGCCGCGGCAAGCTCGGATCGTAACAACCTGTGCACAAAAAACGAGGCACCCTCGACAGCTCGACAGTCAAAACGTCGCTGAGCGCGTTGACATTCTAATCCTTCTGGTATTATTATTTAGGGGTAAAAACGTGTCCAACGTTGGTGCTATATAGACAAGTGACGCGGGGGTATATAGAACACTTTGGGTTCACTCACGCGACACAAGAAAGCAGATCCTCCCAATGCTGTGCTTCGCCAGGAATGCTTTGCACTGCAAAGTCACTATAGCGAATATGTAAGCATCTACACAGACGGTACAAAGACGAAATCTGCTGTTGGGTGTTTCATGATGGTCCGACAGTTCAACTTGTTAGGCGAATCAACTCCTCTGCTTCTATTTTTACAGCATAAATTTATGGTCTACTTCTAACCATAGGCTACATGTTTGATTAAAAGCTGTCTCACTCTATCGTATACGCTGACTCTCTCAGTTCATTGCGTGCACTGTCTTAACTAACACCCCTCAAGCACTTCCCGCTCCTTGAACTGCGAAACAAGGTTGTTGCTGCCTCAAGACAGGGATCGAAATAATATTTTCTACCCTTTAGGCTAGTGATCATACATATACACGCGGAAAGATAATCGAATCCACATTATTTTCACATCCACCATGCATTTAATACCGGCCATCCTACATATTTTTGTTCATCATCTTTGTCATCTAGAAGCATCGATCTTTATATTGGCAGTGAAAATATGCTACCTGACTATTCATGGACTGTTTATCAAAATCCCCATGGAAGTGACCATTTCCCCATTATTTTAAAATATGAAGACACTCCTCAGTCTTCACCTACGCGCCATCCACGCTGGAAGTTTGAAAAGGCAGACTGGAGCCTTCTTAAGCAGTCGCCACCCCTGGCCTATTCTCGCCTCAAGCAGCTTTCAATTGATAAGCTCAACCATTTTTTGACGTCCCATATTCTCACTGCAGCGTCACTTTCAATCCCTCGGTCTTCTGGACAGCTTCCTAGATGACCGAAGCCATGGTGGAATGAAGATTGTAAAGAGAGTCGCAAATAGCAGAAGCAAAGCTTGGGCTGCTCTAAGACGCTCCTTAACTCAGTAAAACCTGATATCTTTCCTAAAAATGAAGGCTCGTGCAGGGTGCATTCATCGCAAAGCGAAACACGAGAGCTGTCAAAAATATGCGTCCTTTATGAACAGCAGTACTTCTCCCAAGGAAGTATGGGACAGTACTCATAAAGTAAATGGCTTATATGATTCTTTCACTATTCCGCTGCTTTCCAGAAACGAAAAATGCCCAAGCATTTCCCTCAGGGAGGCGTTCTTAATGTCCCTTTGTTTATAGTCAAAATCCCTTGCATTGCATATTCCCCCATCGGTGCAATATTCACTGTATGTAGACGACGCTCAGATCTTTGTGTCCTCTTGCAATCTGTCACTATGTGAGCGACGAATTCAGCTAACTAGCAATAAGCTATCAACCTGGGCCAGTCAAGATGGGTTTAAGTTTTCCTCTGATAAAACAGTTTGTGTGCTTTTTTGGGAAACGCGGACTATTTCCAGAGCCTGTTCTAGCACTAAACAATGCCGCAGTTGCTGTGAAGCCTGAGCACAAGTTCCTTGGTCTTGAATTTGACAGCAAACTAATCTTTGGTGCCCATATTAAGAATCTAAAATTAAAAGCTCACAAATCACTTAATATTCTTAAAGTTTCCACTGATCCTGGGGTTCTGACCGGATGTGCCTTTTGAGGATATAACGATTGATAGTTCGATCACGGCTGGACTATGGCAGCATTGTTTATGGTTCAGCTAGGTCTTCCATTCTAAAAATGCTTGACCCTATCCATCATCTTGGGTTCCGATTGGCGACGGGTTCATTTCGCACGTCTCCTGTGCCAAATCTGTATGCAGAGGCCAAAGAGCTGTCTCTTGAGAAGAGAACATTTTCATTGGGCTTTATGTGTTCCCTAAGAGTCCGGTTCATTTCTGATCATCCGGCGCTAATGGTTATGGAAGCCGTGCGCTCTAAAAGGGTGTATCAAAACAAATCCACAACTGTGCCTCTCTTTGAGATGAAAAAGTGCCCGTGAGAGCATAGGACTCGAATGGAGGCCTCCCGTAGTGCAGTCTGCTACTGTGGGAGCACCTTGGGACCACCCTGTCATTGGGTGTGACCTTTCACTCACGCAATACAAGAAAGCAGATACACCCAATTCTGTGTTTCGTCAGGAATTCTTTCACTGCAAAGTCAGTATAGCGAATATGTGAGCTTCTACACAGACGGTACAAAGACAAAATTTGCTGTTGGGTGTTCCATGATCATCCGACAGTTCAACTTGTTATTCGAATCAACTCCTCTGCTTCTATCTTTACAGCAGAGCTCTATGGTCTGCTTCTAACTATAGGCTACATGCTTGATTAAAAGCTGTCTCACTCCATCGTGTACACTGACTCCCTCAGTGAATTGCATGCACTGCCTTAACTAACACCCCTCAAGCACTTTCCGCTCCTTGAACTGCGAAACAAGGTTGTTGCTGCCTCAAGACAGGGATCGAAATTATATTTTGCTGGATTCCCAGCCATGTGGGCATTCCGGGCAATGAGGCAGCAGATCGCGAAGCAAGTACTTGTGTGAAGCGAACAGTATCTCCACAACATTCCTTACACATACTACAAAGCCCTTCGCAGGCGTCGCGTTAAGTGCAAACGGCAGGCTGAATGGGATCAAGAAATCAGTAACAAGTTGCACATAATAAAACCTCCTTTGAGCGAATGGCAAAGTGCACGCCAACAGGAACGTTTTTTTTTTTTTGAGGTTGTCTTCTGACGGCTCAGGATTGGTCACACTCAACTCATTCATGGCTATCTCCTTCGTGGAAAGGACGCCCCCACGTGTGAGCAGTGTGACAATGTGACAAAGCCTTATGCGATCTACATATTCTAGTTGAATGTCCTGCTTATCATGAATAACGTCTTTTGTATTTCTCGCAACTGTATCTAACATAACCCGCTACATCCGGCTCTGCTCTTAAGTAATGAGCGTCTTGTGACACACACTAATGTTTTCAAATTTTTAGATGGTATCGGCCTTCAGCGCCGATTGTAGCCTTCTTAACCTACAGATAATGCCCATCACCCTTTTACCTTTTGGTACCCCACCATCTTTTATATAATCACTGCCCACTAAAGCCTCTTT